CACAGATGATGTCCTAGTTTTTGCTCGAGGCCGCGAATCCCTGTTTGAGCACCTAGATCGATCTATGGTGGATGTCCATCATCTTGGTTTGTCTGAATATATACAAACTCGATGGTACTGGAGATCACTGTCGACAGAAAAAGAAAAATCAGCTTATTTTGAACAATGCACAGCTACCCTGTGGCGCCCTCCAGATCACCTCGATCCAGCCATCCGAGAAATTCCGGCTAATTGGACTGCCATTTGTTCAGAAGAATAAAGCTTCAGCGATTTCGCTAGACTGACGCAAAGCACAGCTGCAGCAATCATCTTAAGCCTCCTCAAGTCATACATGTGCATAGACATCTTGCGCACCTCTCCCACTGGCAGTGTTCCACCGGTAGATCCTAAACTCAGTGAATAGGCTGGTCCAGGAAAGTATACGAAAACGGCCACGGCGCCCCAAGGATAACACCATCGCTTTACTTCGCGCATCAATTGAGCGTTATGGCCTAGGAGTTTCGTGACCTTCTAGTATGATCCCACTGCTTCGGAAGGACCACCAAGAATTCCAAGTTTCCCTGTACAACTCAGACACCAGCTGGGCGAGACGGCAATTTTAAGCAGCCACCATCCAGCGCATCACCAAGAAACCCGTGGTCACTGGGAATCAACTCGTCTCTGAGACTAATGACGCGAAGGAAGCATGGAAGAACTCACTGATACAATCTGTGGACGGAGCTTTGCATCGTGTATTAATTACGAAACCAGCGTCTCACAAAAGGATAAGAAGTCCCGAGAGAATTTCCCCGACTCTGCATCAAAGGAACGCAACTTCAGGCAGGTGTGCTGTCGACAAAATCCTGATGCTCCAGGGGCTGACCACTCCTAAACCCAACGGATCTTCACTGCTAGGGCGCTTGTGGACAAAACGAAGCACTTTCCAAGTCCTGCAGTCATGGGCACTAACCCAGGCGCTTGCTGTAAGTGACACGACGATATCGTGAAGCAACTAATCAATAAGCTTCGTTTCAAAGGAGCCGAATTATCGTGAAACTCGCATCCCAGCGGCGTAAACGTACACTAAGCAGGATTTAATCGTCATTACATGTTCCACAGCACGCGTAGTAGACGATGAAATATGTGACACCTACAGAATGACCCGTAGCTACCAACTAAAACTTGACAGACACGGTGTAGGTGCTCATGCAGAGGCCATAGTTCGCTTTGTGTGCTCGAAATTTTCTAGGGCATCAAATGTCACTCATCATCCAATAACTATCAACAAAATGGTCATATATTCCCAGCCTCAGCCAGGCGCCTCTCGATAATAAGGCTCAGCAAACTTTCTGATCTGATTTGGGTTTATCTAACTTGAGGGGATCCCTTATAGTGTACGACACATACATTCAGGATGCAATGTCACAAACCAACTCATATTAATAACATAATCACATGTTTGAGAGCGGTTCCGAGCAAGGTTTTGTGTTTAATATGGTTAGGATTTCGATAATCCCCAGGGAGATTTCTTCAATCGCGGCGAATTTAGGTAATGCCAAGGCCTTGGGCCGTGCATGAAATTATCGAAAATATATGTTTATAGATTACCATCAGCACTGAGGTGAACCATGGTCAATACGAGCACTGGGACAGGAGCAGTCGGTTAATGTGTGTTTCTCGTCTGAAAACACTGTATCTTACTGCCGGTTTCGAAATTAGTTCATCTCAAAAGTGCACTCTAATCTCATTGAGAAGCGTCGACTGCGTGATTCGGCAGCTAGGGGATAGTAAAATGGTATCAGCAGTGCTGCGGTACACAGTACTAATGATTCGCCGTCACTTAAGCACCAGTAGTCGCGCGCAGGTTATAGATACTACTAAGTCTGCCTGATCACGTAGGTAGGCTGGAAGTTGCTACTGGATTACAAGACATGCGTGTGAATCTTTAGGCCATGGGCCGGCTTGTTATACGCTGCATTCGGACTTTACCTGATCCAACCAGGTGGGGTTGGCAGGCCTCGAACCCGAGACCACTGGAATAGTAGCCGAAACCTCTACCCATTCGGATACTCGGGTTGAAGTTTCGGCAAACATCACAAGGGTCCCGGATTCTATACCTACTATCCCTGCCTGATGAGATCCAGTAGTATCTACACAGGACCTGGAGTGAAGTGTTTTCGGGAGGGCAACACCTGATATCTTTCTGCTTCACTACCCATTGCTTCACACTGGTGAAGCATTCTGTCCCAGTAGCGTGCTGTTGCAACTGCTGGGAGGAATGGGGCTCCGCTTGGCAATCGACCAAAGGAGTATCAGTTGAACAATCAGCCACCGGCTCCCATTGCTTGCGATCCCCTGAATTTGCGCCGCTGACCTGTAGACAACCTATTTAACTAAAGGCTTGATGGTGTCCCTAATGTCAGCCACTTACTACTACTTGGGCAACCGAGTTGTAACGCGCACGCTGTGTTGCGTAGGGCAATCTTTCTACGACTACTGCACCCTCTTTGTTTTCTAGGCAGATAACATCGAAATACTCCAATCGATACGGTCCAACTGAGTTTACAATTTTCACAAATGATGACTTGTCAGATCAACGCGAGCACTTCACAGACTACATAAACTTCTGTTTTGATCTGTGTTGTCCCATGGAGACAATCTATCTGCAAAATGATGCGTTTTCATCTGCATCGCTCAAGCAACTGAGAAGGAAAATAGAACAGGCTTATAGACATAAGCTAACTGCCCGTATTAAACGTCTGTCCATGGCTATACAAGCTGCAATAAAAAGGCTAAAATCACTGTACATGCAAACCGCTATAGGCAACCACAGTTTCCGTAACCTATGGAGGCCTCTAGGACAGCTCTTCGGAAAGAATTCTTTCAGAACACGCATCACCGAATATATAGATAAACTCAATGCTGAGTTCAGCTCATCATCACCTCACATACACATTCTATCTTCTTTCACTACTACTGAGCCTCCTACTTAATTCGCTTTCACAAGTATTTACAAGTAGCTCACAAGGCGAAGGGCAAACGAGGCTAGTGGACCGGAGGCTCCGTCAGTAATCAATTTGAATGAATAAGCAGAGGTTTCACCATCTCTGACAGATATTATGGATCGGTGTTTAACGAGTGATACCATCCCCGACAGTTGGAAATCAGCCAGAATAAGACTAGTGCCTGAAATGTAATCTCGGAAGTGTCGGCCAATTTCGTGCTAGAGATACTGGAGAAGTACTGATCCCCACATTTGCACAGGCAATCATACTGATGATGTCAAACAGTTTGCCTATCAACCAAGGCACTGTAAACTGGATGCTGTTTCTTATCTCGCGCATTCGATCGCATCCGCCTTAGATAGTAGATGCAAGGAAGTGCGGCTACTATTTCTCGATAACACCAAACTTTTGGGGGCCTCGATAGATCCCTGCGGCCCAACATTTTCTCTGCAAATGGCGTCCCCCCAATTGTAGGCAGTTGGCAGCGTGAATATTTCAGAAATCGCCCACACTTCATGCAGCTGTTCGGCAAAATGTCCTTCGTACTTCCAGCCGATCGTGGTGTTTCACAAGGATCCATCCTATCCCCATTTATTCACCTGCTACTTTGAAAGTCCCTATAGGGAGACTTTCCAATTTCAACGTTCAACTTTCATCAAACTTCATAGGCTGCAAATATGCTGACGATGTCGTCCTGGGTTGCCCAACCAATTATTGGAGACTGTGAAATTCCAACGGAGATTAGGCGAACTAGTGACTTGGTCCAGCCCAAGGTACCTCAGTCTTAACCATACCAATTGTTATGACCTATAGTTTTGTTTTCTAGATCTCAACAGATTGCAGCCCCTTGTCCATATTTCCCCTTCCGTGGTTGTGGATGACAAACGCATCCTTCTTTCCTGTACCTTAAAATATCTCGAGGTTTTCCTAGCTCACAAGTGAACTTGGTCTATACATATTGTGAAACTTTGAAAAAGTGTAGAAGGCTTTTATTTTATGCCCTCAGGCTTAAAATGCTTTCTGCTCCTTGTGTTTTGATTCTATGGTTTGTAACGGCATGTATCCTCCCTCATTGGTTATATTGTTTCCCTGTTATTTGCTACGAACTCCTTCAAAATGATTATGTCCTTATCTGTTCGCTAAAGTCTATTTCTTACTATTCGGGCTTAAGAAAAGAACCGCTCATTGATTGCATCGTTACCATACATTTTGATGCATGTAACAACTTTCATCTAAGATTTTATATGACCCCGCTCACTTTTTACACGCTATCCTGGCCCGTAATATAGCTACTTCGTCCCAGCGGTCAAATTTGAACCTGTATTCTCGTACCTTGTCGTATCGAAACTCTATCCATCTGTTCTCTCACGCTTAATAATTGACCCAACAGGAATGAAACGCCGCCTTCGTGACCGTAGGTTTGATTGAAGACGCAAAGTTTCGTTCATTGATATCAATCGTTCTTTCTCTTTGATACATCACTGTATTATACTCTGCAATGTTGGTGTGAAAATGCCGAAAACGCATAAATACAGCTGGATTAACCTTTATTGGAATTAAAATCCGCTTATTCACACACTTTTGCCGGAGTGCACCAACATGGAATGTGTTATCCAATTCGCCCATGACTATCTTGTAGTGAAGTTGAAATCCTGCGCTTAAGCGTATTTTCAAGAGTGTGCAGCAAAAGTAACTGGTGTTGAATGCACTCTAGTTTGTGTAAACAATCCCACTATTGTTCATTATGGCACTGTGATAATTAAACAGATCTGTTTGTACCTGAAAAATCTGCCGTTAGTGATGTCACCAGAAACCATGCTTGGTTAACATTTAACTTAATACAATCGTCCAAAAATTTCGAATGATGTTTCCTGAAAGCCAAACACTGAGACTTACTAAAACCCTAATAATCACCAAGAGTACAAGTAATCGGTAAAGTGTTACTCGTGATATTCAGGATCAGTAATAACACAGATATATAAACGCAGCCCAAGAAATTGAAAAATTTGAACTTACTCCTCATCTAGTCTAGATTCGATAGAATAAGATGAAGCCTTTGTAACCTAATAAGAAATGAACAAACAAATTAAGTAGAAATAGACGTGCGTGTACAAGAAGAATTTAGGTTGAAGCAACGAAATTTCAGTAGACTTTTGCTATCGTGTTTAGGCTGCAACGAAATATCCAAGCATGGCGGGTAACTCAAAACCGCATGACAGCAGCTAGCAGTCCCGAAACACCCAGGTGAACCGTGTAGTAGCAAAGTTAACTGATATTATCACTAAGGGAGTATGCAATCTATAGTTTGGACCATTATGCTATGCTCAACCGTAAGCATCAAAAGCTTCAGCTGTTAAATTGAACATTGATCATCAGACTGCCGCAGTTACCCTTAATGGAGTAGCAGAGGTTACTCAAACTGCTGTTTGTAGAATTAAATCAATGTTTCTTGGTGCCGGAATTATAATGCTACATAGGGGCAGACTCGCCTCATAAGATATCTGAAAAAGGAAGAATACTGATTAATTACAGGAATGATAGTTATCGAAAAGAGGAGACGTTATATAAGCGAGAAACCCACGTCATACTGAATATTTGGCCCGACGTGATGTAAGCATGAAGAAAAAGCGAAGCACTAATCTTACATGAGGGACTCACTGTACGTTCTCCGAAAAATGTCTCCTCTGAAGCACCTAAGTCCTCTGATATAGTTGCCCAGGTGTCATCAGCATCTTCGCTACATACTGGTGTGTCACTTGGCAATGGCGGTGCGTCCGGAAACATCGTCCACTGCGTAATACCAGATAGGGGGACGGTGCCATCCAGGAAGAAGAAAGGCATTTGACGGCCAAAGTTCAGCTTTTGCGACACGTTATTGTCGCCCACATAAGTAAACAAATTGTCACAAGAACGCGGAATTTTAGGTGGCGGCCCAAGATAACAGAATGAATCGCAAAAATCAGGAAGCAATTCAGGGGAAAATAAAAAGGAATTCCGGCAAACGCCTTCAAAGGACGCACCCCGGCAAAAGCCAGGAGAAATGGGTATACCGAAGCAATCTAAATATTTCCGCTTAAGATAAAAACGACGAGGCAGATCCCCCAAAGAAAAAGTAGAAAAATGCAAACCAGGCGAAATACTAGCATCAGCAAGGCGTGCACAAGGAAAAGAATTCAAAGAAACAGAATCAGTGGAAAGTACAAAAGGAACAGAAACAAAAGAAAAGGTAGGGGCAAAAGCAGCTGCATTCGACATAGATAAGTTGGATCGCACACACTCCGACAACACAGGATCCGCCACATATCCGCTCACACGACCATCATCGACCGAAACGCCAGCTTCCGGGTTCACCGTTGGTATCGTCGAGTCCGTCAATGCTCCACCTGCAAATTCACCCACGACGCGCTCAATGCCAACATGGTCTTCCAACGCAAATCCCACAGATGATCGTCCTAACGGAAGAACACATTCCTTGTCCCTCTGACGCATCTCCCCAATGTATAACCTCCCACTCCCAAGTACCGACGATGAAGCCGCACCCTCCACTGCAACCTGGCCAGAGACGAGTTCAATTGGTAACGAGCTGCTTTCCAACCTCACCTCCGACATGCCTGCACCAAGGCTCTGCGAGAAACACATCTCGTCTGGATTCACCGAAATATCCACAGCAGCCGTCGATGGCACATCAGAGTCCATTCGAGGATGGTCTGAACCTCCCGATTCCTTCACGAAACCCACAACTCCAGCATCAACATTAACAGCCTCGGTAGCTGACATACACAACAACTCTCCGGACTGCAATCCTGGTGTAAATCTGCCTCCATCCACCTTCTCCGCAACACGCGCATCGTCTGCCAACGAGCCTGAAGCAGTCACACGCGCTCCCGAGGATGTAGGCGACGACGCAGGCCTATTCACTACAAGTAAGTTAGATCGCACACACCCCAACAACACAGGATCCGCCACATATCCGCTCACACGACCATCATCGACCGAAACGCCAGCTTCCGGGTTCACCGTTGATATCGTCGAGTCCGTCAATGCTCCACCTGCAACTTCACCCACGACGCGCTCAATGCCAACATGGTCTTCCAACGCAAATCCCACAGATGATCGTCCTAACGGAAGAACACATTCCTTGTCCCTCTGACGCATCTCCCCAATGTATAACCTCCCACTCCCAAGTACCGACGATGAAGCCGCACCCTTCACAGCAACCTGGCCAGAGACGAGTTCAATTGGTAACGAGCTGCTTTCCAACCTCACCTCCGACATGCCTGCACCAAGGCTCTGCGAGAAACACATCTCGTCTGGATTCACCGAAATATCCACAGCAGCCGTCGATGGCACATCAGAGTCCATTCGAGGATGGTCTGAACCTCCCGATTCCTTCACGAAACCCACAACTCCAGCATCAACATTAACAGCCTCGGTAGCTGACATACACAACAACTCTCCGGACTGCAATCCTGGTGTAAATCTGCCTCCATCCACCTTCTCCGCAACACGCGCATCGTCTGCCAACGAGCCTGAAGCAGTCACACGCGCTCCCGAGGATGTAGGCGACGACGCAGGCCTATTCACTACAAGTAAGTTAGATCGCACACACTCCGACAACACAGGATCCGCCACATATCCGCTCACACGACCATCATCGACCGAAACGCCAGCTTCCGGGTTCACCGTTGGTATCGTCGAGTCCGTCAATGCTCCACCTGCAACTTCACCCACGACGCGCTCAATGCCAACATGGTCTTCCAACGCAAATCCCACAGATGATCGTCCTAACGGAAGAACACATTCCTTGTCCCTCTGACGCATCTCCCCAATGTATAACCTCCCACTCCCAACTACCGACGATGAAACCTCACCCTCCACTGCAACCTGGCCAGAGACGAGCTCAATTGGTAACGAGCTGCTTTCCAACCTCACCTCCGACATGCCTGCACCAAGGCTCTGCGAGAAACACATCTCGTCTGGATTCACCGAAATATCCACAGCAGCCGTCGATGGCACATCAGAGTCCATTCGAGGATGGTCTGAACCTCCCGATTCCTTCACGAAACCCACAACTCCAGCATCAACATTAACAGCCTCGGTAGCTGACATACACAACAACTCTCCGGACTGCAATCCTGGTGTAAATCTGCCTCCATCCACCTTCTCCGCAACACGCGCATCGTCTGCCAACGAGCCTGAAGCAGTCACACGCGCTCCCGAGGATGTAGGCGACGACGCAGGCCTATTCACTACAAGTAAGTTAGATCGCACACACTCCGACAACACAGGATCCGCCACATATCCGCTCACACGACCATCATCGACCGAAACGCCAGCTTCCGGGTTCACCGTTGGTATCGTCGAGTCCGTCAATGCTCCACCTGCAACTTCACCCACGACGCGCTCAATGCCAACATGGTCTTCCAACGCAAATCCCACAGATGATCGTCCTAACGGAAGAACACATTCCTTGTCCCTCTGACGCATCTCCCCAATGTATAACCTCCCACTCCCAAGTACCGACGATGAAGCCGCACCCTTCACAGCAACCTTGCCAGAGACGAGCTCAATTGGTAACCAGCTGTTTTCTAACCTCACCTCCGTCTTGCTTGTATCAATCGTTCGCGAATAATTTTCCGCTTGTTGGTTTATCTGTAATGTTTTTTCGTTAGCCGTGTTCCCGTCCTCGCCGCTATTTTTCTTCTTACTTTCCTCCTTTTTTCCCGTTAAGTTATCCTCTGTTGCTGCTTGGGTGTTTAATTTTTTGTTGTTTTTATAGTGTTTTCCTTTTTTGCTTTGTGTTTGTTTTCCTCCTTGCTCTGCCATTGCAATACTTTTTTCTTTGTTTACAGTTTCCATCCTTTTCCTCAGCTCAACTTCTTTTTTGTTTTTTCGCACCTTCTGTTCTGCTTGTTTTGTTTTCCTTTCTTCTCTCCGATGGTTTTTTCTTTTTTGCATGTTTAGTTTTGGTCCATTTTCTATAGCGGTTTCTTCTTCTTTGATTTTGTAATCTTGAATGCTGTTGCCGCCATGATTTGCTTCTCTTTTCCTTTGGTTTCCACCCTCTTTGCTCATTTCCTTTTCTTCAGTTTGTGAAACTTTGTGTTCCCCTTGTTCTTTTCCAATATCTTTTTTCTTTATTCGTTTTTGCCGCGTTGTGCTTTCAGTTAAGTTCGTACCTTTAGATGTGGCCTTATGGGTCAGCTGACTGTCATGTCTACTGCTTTTGTCTCCGATGCTTCTCCTCATTTTGTCATCATTTCTATTGCCCTCTATTTCGCAATACCACGGTAACAGTGATTTCCCTTCAACATCTGATTGTGAAGCTGAACTGTGTGTGGAACTTTGTTTGTCCCATTTTCTCAAGTTATTTTCTCCCATCACACTTTCGCTATGTTGCATACAAACTGCTTCGCTTTCTTTGTTTCTCTCACTGATAAACCGCTCACAGCAAACTGCACATTCGTTATCTATCATTGAGCTTGTGCCATCAGCTATGCATTGCTCATCTTGCTTTACGGTTGATAATTTTATCCTTCGTCTTACCTTCTTCAATTTTCTGTTTGATATATGAATCGAATCAGCTTTGCTCTTGTTGGTATTCACCATACTTGGTTGCGAGTAAGCTAGGTCGTTTTTTGACACCGAGATGAGATCCTCATCGATTCCACATCCACTCCTCGTGTTATTTTGCTCACTAAATCTGGAGCTGCTAAAATATACCTGCGACGGATGATTTTCAAACTTTAATCCTGGGCCGCTTTTAGCGTTTTCATCGGAGTGGCAGAGTAAGTCATATGCCATATTAGATCGCGACCATACTCCCCCTCCACTAGCATTCTCATCGAATTCCCGTGATCTCTTCAGAGATCTTTTCCTTGAGTCCCTTCTCTCCAGATCTATTATTGTCCGTCTCGGCGCTTCATTAACGCATACCACACCATTTTTGTTGATTGAACTCAAATCATATATCTTTAAATCATTTATTCCCATGATTGCATTATCTAACTCGGATCGCGTCGGTGCTGCAAATACGTCGCTCGACCTGATGGCTTCTTGGGGATTCTGTGTTCTGTCTGCACGCAAACGCTCGATCCCAGATGACAGGATATTCACTGCATTGGTTAATGTGGCGGTTGTGGCCACGGTATAATCAATCGGGGCTGGATTATTCACATCATCCAACAATTCTGTGGTGTGCCTGGTGACACTGCGAACTTGATTAAATAAGCATGGTTGAGATTCTGCAATTCCATTCTCTTCCAAAGATTCATTGATGAATGGCTGAAAATATTTCGACGTGTCTGTTGATTGATCTCTCCCTCTTTCATCTGATGGCGCAGAGTACTGTCCATACCAAAGTAAGCTGAGCGATTCTGCTTTTTGCATGAGCCTTTTAACTTGTGGCAATTCGCAAGTTCTGAATTCCCCCACTCTACGCAACAATTCATAATATTTTTGAACCAAATGCTTATCTTGAAGCCAGTTAGAGCGAGTCATGGACTCAAGAGTATTTTCGTGCTGGATGCTATCCATAGGATGGTGCAGACTGATAAACTGACGCTGCTCGATTAACTTTTTCCGCAGAGAAGCGTAGAAGTGTACCAGTTCCATGAATAACTGCCGAGCTTTTTCATTGATTCTCTGAAAATTGAAAATAAGAGAAAAATGAGGGAGGAAATTCCGGGGCATGTGCATTAGGACATGACAAGAAACAGGCCAGTAAATACGCAAGAATGAATGAGTAAAACTAATTATCCTATCGATATAAAACAATCTGGGGAATTCTACAGCTTTGTTTCAGAGGTAAAAAAAACAAGGCTGACGTTCAAATTGCCCACGAAAATCGGCATAGTAGACCAAGTTACCTGCATTAGCCTGTTCCTTTTTTGGGCACTATGAAGCTTTAGACATGCAAGCTGACTGACCAGCAATCCCTAGCTCCAGGTATTGTTGAACCTAGATGCCACCCAGTATCTCGGTGCGCCGTATTTAGCTGTGGCTGCTTACAAGCACGGTTGCTGAGCAGTGAATTATGGTGAACAAATACAGTTTTATTGTGAATTGACTTGAACGCTGCAGCAGTTGATGACAGAATACGAGTAAATTTTACGAGAACTGTGGTGATTTTACTGGCAGCGGTGCACTACGCGATAGTGAATCGCGGGCCTCTCAGGTTATTTAACTAATGGGCGGAGCGATTCTGTAGAATAAGTTGAAGTAAACACAATGTGATAAACAAGCAGTGGTAAGTTCGGGTACACAAGAAAATCACAGCAAATGAACCAACAAAATTTACGGTGGCTGTTGATTTGCTATATCTGAGCGTACGAATGACTTTTGTTAGAGCTTTGACACCCGCAAACCGTGTTCATATGTCTACGAGACGTCACTAAAGTCAACTACTCATGAGGAGACAATATCGTTATTCATTGTGGAAAAATGCTTCCGCGACTTCAAAATTCCGTAAAGTAAATGTGCAATGCGCTTACGAACTTCGGTTTTAAGCTGCATAGTAAAGATGGAAGACACAGTTAGACGGTAGGTGCGTAGGAAATCTGAAGTAAAAGAGCATGCCATCTGCGTAAGAACGAGTTGAGTCTAAATACATAAGACGTTTTCAGTGAAAACGTTGTCTTGATATGACCTCGTATTTGTGTATCAGATCCTCAGGAATCCTAACCAACCCATCCCAACACTTATTGAATCTCAGCCACAACAGGACTCTGGGAGGTCACGGTTTGAAGTTAGCCACACAGTACAGCTGGTTGGAATGTCACCGGAACGTTTTCTTCATTCATGATCCTATCCAACGAACATAACATCTGCATTCGATCATCTCCGCTCCTACCTTAGCCGTATTTAAAATACGGTTTGATGATGTATTAGAGCACTTACAGTGCATGATTTAACCAAAGTGTATTGGACACGGGACCAAGTAACCAAACTATGTGTTCATGTAAAATTTGCGATCTCCCTCTTCATTTAAGGAAACTGCTAAGCGGATTGCATTTTTATCCGTGATAAATCCATTGTTTCACTGAGTCACTGTACTTCAAATGCAAGATGCGCATGCGGCCCAAGAAGTTTGAGATATCCAATCATCAAGCCCTACTTATTTTGTAGAATGCATCGATTTCAGTGCACTTCTATATCTCCAACGTTTGACAAACCCCAATCAAGGTAAGCATTTGACCTGAGCGTTGTCGTTATCTACTGTGGAAATATAAACGCGAGTAGGAATATTTGACAAATATTTTGGCCGACTTATTTCGAAGCGCACTGAGCACTTCCAACACCACTTACTCTTTGAAAAAATTGCGTCTAACTACTGGGTATACGTCGCTGTAGGTTACTTTCCGCAGGCTATATATATATATATATATATATATATATATATATATATATATATGTGGCTGGCGGCATCCGGTTCCGATTTGCCTGTCACTGTGGCCAGCAACAGGGCGCCTGCGCCTACAGAGGGACGATGGGTGGCTTGCGCTGCACTAAGCACAGCTCCATCCACACACCCCATATCCAGTGTAAACCCGGAGGAATAAGATCGGAAGGTATGTGGATGTGAGCCACGTTTCGTCAGCGGAGCCGGCCCATATTCCTTCAAAGGCAAACACAAGTACACTGTATTTGGGGAGTCAAGCGCACACAAGGCGGTGGTTGGATCGCAGTCCGTTCCACACTGAGTACATGGAACCGCTCCTCGAGCCTAGCACGGCCACAAGATCCCTGCACCCGGTCCCCTCTAGCAACGACCAACTGTCTCCTGGAGCCAGTATGGACAAAGTAGTCGGTAGTAGACATGTAGGCACCTTGTCAGCATGCATATCAGGCGCAGCCACACCGAGTATATCAAGCAACCGTCAATCACTTGAATCGGCAATATGAAATAAAACAAATCCAATATTGCATGCAGATACGCTGGCACAACTCTTCGCTAAATTGGCATATGGAGAAAGCTGGTTAGCAAGGAATCCGTGACAAGTAAAATATGTCCACAAGTTACTTAAAATTGCTACGAACGCAACAAAGTTACCGATAAGTGCAAATAGCATAAGCAACGTGGCCAGTTGATAGAAGATTATTCAGGTAGGCAGAACAAACAAAATAATGTGGAATGAAATTTATCCAGCTTAAAAAGACCTGGTTAAAGTGTAAGTTAGGTTAACCAAACTGCAGTGAAGAAGCATCAAGAATGCAACATCAGCCTGAGGATGGGACACTATATATATATATATATATATATATATATATATATATCACAGTCTATGGTACGAATATGGTGCCATCAAAATCAAGGCGGAAGAAAACAGGATAGGAATAGGGAGAAAAAGAACATGCAGCAATTTTCAGTAGATTTTCGCTCAGTTTTTGCTTGGTTTATTATGTTTTCTTTGGGAAGGGAAGGGAGATCGCCGCAACACGCATAGATACACGTCCGCCATTGACCTTGGTCCTGATCCAGTGTCCAGGGGTCGGCAACCAGCTCAAGGATACTTGCCTTACCACCGTTCGTCTGATGAATCGTAAACAACGCTTTGCCGTCTTACACCTCGTAGGTACACTTCATTCTACGAAAAGATGTTCTTTAGTAACCCCGCTACTCTGAGTGATGTGCCGTTTTAAGATTTTCCGTGCAGTTTGGAACCAGTTGCGTGGTGGACAGGCATTTTCGAAAATCGAATTAGATACACATCTGGAAATGGCTTCAATAGTCTTTTGGTTCATTGGTGATCGATGGATATTTCAGGTCTAATCGTGAACTAGGAGCTGCAGTGACGAGTGAATAACCCACTTTAAGCTCTCATACATCGAGGTGGACCACAGGGAAACTGCATATGCTTGGAGGAATGTTGCATATGAAATCGACTGAACATCGCACAGTGACCCACGCCATCGACATCCAGTCACTGCCATTAGCACCGCACGCATGCATTATGCAACGACTTCCATGACATTGGTCAAGCTCTGATTGGTGACCTACCTCTTAGTACATATCAATAGAAGATTGCTAAATAATGTGCTTGTCCGCACCCACCGTGGGCCAGTGGTTCAAGTCTGTGCATCCTTGGAACAGTTCCACGTCACTTGCCGTGTCGGCGGTTTGCCTAATGCTGATGAACGCAAAGTAGATGAGCCTGTCCTTAACCGCCTTCAGGAGTTTGAAGGTCATCCTTCAGTGTAACTGTTTGTCCTAATTCTCTGTTGATCCATTCAATCGAAAGAAACCAGATATAATAATTATCCCCCAGACAGATCCCACGAATTTTATTAACGTCTCTTGCGATATCCTTCTCAAATTTACACCCGTTTTCCTCTGGTCTGCCGACAGAGAACACTACCAACCTCGCACCCATATCCAATACAAAAACTATAACTTTAAATTGCATTTCACACTAGATGGTGGCGTTAGACGGGGAATAATAATTCAGGTGTTACATAAACCTTTTTAACCTCCGGCTTTCCTGTTGCTATGCTCATTCACCCATGTTGTTTTACCATGTCATTTCGTTAACCCCATTGGCTGTTTAGAAGCGTTGCTTCTGCTTTCGGCTCGCAGTCCTACTCTGAGGCTAATGCTATCACATGTCGTTGGGTATGCATCTGATTAGTTGCTGATTACGGTCGGTCCTTATTAAGTTCGTCTGTTCGCACCCTTTGAGCACTCCAGCTGGCTTTTAGATTTATGCGTCATAGAATATAGCGATACCATTTTTCTACGAAAAGAACCCCGAATTTCGTTCACACTCATTCGCGTTCTCATTACTGGTAGTGGTGGAAGCGGTTGCGGAATCGAAGCAACAGGTGGAAAGCTGACCATCTCCACAGACACATAGAGCTCTGTCGGAAGCTGTTGACGCAGAGCCTCAGGAGATTTAAAAGAGTACACCAGATGTTCCACCAGCAAACATTGCCAATCGCAGTTGAGTTTGGATGGTTTACGTCTGATTAACTAGGGACTGTACTTTGAGTGGAGATAACTAGCTAATGAGCGGATTTTGCGTTTGTCCACCTTCAGAAATAATTCGTGCCAGTTAGACACCACTTCAGTAGGATAGAGGTTACAATTCGTAAATGATCCTCTCCCATGATTACGTTTGAAGGCCTTAGACATGGCCTTAAAAATTCCCACAATCTCCAGCCTCGTGAGAGCGTCGACCGGGCTTACTGGACACGTAACTGCTATTATGAGTAGGATATATTTTTCCAAACTGCTAGAGAGAATAACCTAGAAGCGGGGATAAATGAGTTAGGGCAGCACGTAAATTACTGCACCACCTAAGGTTAGAGTCTGAACAAGATGTGAATGAACATCATTAGATCAGAGGGCACTTCCACCTGTAACCGGTGACCCAGAGTGGTCCAAATTGCAAATAATGAAAATGCGATGATGAAACACCTTTGAATAACCTTTCACTTGTGAGTATTGGAAACAGACAGCATGGCATCCGTGGGCAGTGAGTTAAGTACTTCTGGTGAGATGCCACCAAGTATGTGAAAGCTCTGAGCAGTTGATACAACATTTCCCTTGATAACATACGTCAAACATGGGAAAGAACAATCATAATTCACATTCAGTAGAGGTACTTTTCTTCGGAGTCTATTCTGAGGCATGTCCAATACTCACTGGAATGCATACCATCGGAAAATTGGTTTTATTCATCGTCCTTGGAGCGCCGAGTCAAATTTTACCAGAAGGCTTACATTGTGACTGGATTGCAGTAAAGTTACAGAAACAATCGGGTACGATACGCGTTGGTTAGCCTGGACAGTGAGCAACAATGCATAACCTGGAGTAAAAATATGGAGACTAGATTATAATACACGAGAAGCGCCATACATTATGTCCACTCGCGAGTTATCATTTAGTATGATGGACTTATTCATGCCTGGATGTGCTCTAACTTGAACGATGTATCACTGCTATGTGTAGGTTTTACTGAAATACCGTCTTTTGAAAATGCCTGCAAATTATACCTACATGATAGTTTATTGATCATAGCTGATAAATCAAGGTATCTGTGTTAGCCACATGTCAGTGTTTAAGAGCGGTGCAGTCGCTAACACACAGTCCCATCTCACTACCGCAAAGATATATTAGGTCAGGTGTAGCCTGCATTTTGGCCTTGTTACACTTTTTGCGAGCATAGCAAAGGACGACAAAGTCACGTAGTAAGATGTTGTTTTGCCGTTGTAAAAGGTCAGGAGGATATACAAACTGATTAGATCAAGCACTCTCGAAATGGGACACTAGACAGAAGACAAATTCATGTGGCAGATGGGAAGGTGGGGGTAGGAACCTTTGAAAATCGGTAGTTGGCACTTGACTAGAGTGGTCTGAGCTATGCTACGCCCGTCTCACGCCTCCAAACTATTGGTTGCAAATATTAACAAGACGCTATTGTTTTCCCCGTTTGCTAAATAAGGAGGATGCAAGCAGTAAAACGCAAATGCCTGTACCAGTAAAGCAAATGAATATTTTTGCAGAGTGAATCATACCAAAGGAAAAGATATTGTTAATAAACCAAACTCAAAACGTACATTATATTTTGAACCTTCACAGGAAAGTGGAACCCAGTTCTCAGAGGCCAGTTTACACTCAGGGTAAACACACGCGTGTTCCCCAAGCAAGTCACGTAGGTTTAGACGTTTCTCCCTCACTTTTGCGGCGTCCACTGGTGAACTGTCGATGGGTGACTCCAGAGGGTTGGGCAAGTTAGTCCTTGATCGACTGCAAATCGAGTCGTTTTGCAACGAGTTCAATTCGTCTTCTGCGATGTTTGTAAAACCCTGCAAAAGCAGTGAGAAAAGTCATATGCAATGAGCAGAGCACGAAAATCCCTTTAACTTTTTCAATTAACAAGTGCAAGGATTACCTTAAAAATATCGATCCAAAATATCGCGAGTTCGGGTCGAAGTTCTGCCATCGCAGTCTAATGAATGTAAGCAGTAAGAGACCGGTCGTACGCAACATCCAGTTCATGTCAGTATCTACACTATTTTTCATACATGACTCCTCGGGCATATCCAGGCGAATGAAAGGAAAATATTGTTTAAACTCTAAGGTTTTGAAGAAAGGTAGAAGTTTAAGTAATGCTGTACTCTGCAAAAGTGCGACAATTTGTACTGCTTATATGCATGAATGTAATGTTCTTTGGTCTGATAACCCTACACCAGTTCATCTTTCCGTGTTTCGTTTCATTCTTTCATGCACTAGGTTATTTCACCTTGTATGGAAATTGATAATCGTAAACAGCCGATCAAAAAAAATCTCGTATCTTGCATCCGAAGAGGCAAAATTAAACAAGTAAATACTGCTTGTTTCAAAGTCGATTTAAGTCACAGAACAGAACGTCATTCATGGCAACGGAATTATAAGTCCAGCTTGCGATGGCGTGTAACAATCTACCTGTAAAACTGGTGCTTAAGATGCATCCCAATGTTGTTGACTTTCGTGATAGGCGTGGTCCGGATCACAGTGTTTTTAAGGGTAAAGAAGTCATCCAGTATTCATCATACCCTGTGATCGCTGCGGTCCTGCTATCTCTACCTGAACAATGTAAACAGACACGAAAGGAGTCGCAGAGTGTAGCGTTGAGTGTGGGTACTACCTAACATTAATCAATTTGAATAACTTTGGCTCTGTAATGTACTAAGCGAAGTCCGAATGGACCCACCGTCGAGACGCATCCCTGTGCTTTTTGTAAAAGTAAAATAAATGTTTATGACGAGTGAAATGTTACTCTAAAGTGTCAGAAATGTGTGGCCCATAGCTAGAATAAAACCGTTAAGCGATTGATTTACGGTGGCCGATTTCATGCGTAGTTTGTGGCAGCTGAGTACATGATGATGGTGAAGTTATATAAAGATAAGGATGGTTGCCAACGATGGTTGGCAAAGTGCTGACGGTTTGCTCAACTGTAACGTCACGGTTTTCATGTAACCGATACTGATTTACTGCATTAGCTAGATTATGAAGGAGAAGCAACGTCAGATTGTGAATAAGCTTTGACACATTACTGGTGATGGAAACCCAGTTAAAACCAGTCAGATAGCCGTAACATCTCAGACATCTAAAAGTTGTGAAAATTTGTGTTCTTGAACCAGAATTTCGAGTGCCATGTAAGTCACATAAAGTTCGTCAGAAAGTGGAAGTCGAACAAACCCCACCGGCCCTCATGTCTGAGGTCGCAAGAAAGTTGGATGGATGACTGCAGGGTAATTTGAAGTGCACTTTGTGTGATTGGAATTCAGCGAGCAATGTCAAAGCAGACCGCGAACCAAATTCAAGCGAAACTTGGCCAATGCGAGCACTGTAACCGTAGCCGAACCAGATAAAATTGGGTACAGACCACCAGAAAACACCGCACACCATGACGTTTTCCGATCTCATTAGATCTTATAAAGCCATATTTCAGGCTCTGGACCCGGGAACTTGCAATATCAGCCGAAACCTCTAACTTTTTGACTACCAGCTCACGAAGGGTGACGTTTGCCACAACGGTCAATGACTGATTGGACGGTCACTTTGAAGTAAGGGTTGCTTGACCGGATTGCGACGGGTAATCTCAATGTGCACCGTAATCCGCATTGAAATGAACCTTGGCCAGTTCGTTGTACTAATGGGTTGCCCGTCGTGTCCCGGTGGTTAAAGGAGTAAAGGTCCCAATTAACATCCCAATGGTCCCGGGTTCGAGGCCTGGCAATCTCCACTTGACGAAATCAGACAAGGTCCTAAGGACCAAAGTGGCCAAGGTTCGCTTCATTACGATGCAAGGTGCAACACCCAAAGTTCGTTAGCCTTCGCTCATTAAAACACGGTCTTGGTTACCACAAAAGTCGATGGCCCCTAACTGACAAATTGCATATTATGCAAGCCGTTGTCTTGCAAACACAAATTGTCTTCATGACTTGCATTTCACTGAACGAAACATAGAGGGAGCTTGGTATAGCGTAGATCAAACCTAGCAACCAATCAGTAGAGTCGTGTAAGGGAGTGGCTATGGCTGCAGTGACCAATTGCAGAATTCTCTCGGTTCACATCTGAGTGACGACGCAGTGTTTCTGTGGTTCAGCCTCTTTGTTAGCACCGACTAGTCCTATTCGCCTCCGCACATGTGGTCACTCCGGCTGGTCCTAACTGTTCTTGACCCGTCGCACTCCTCGTCCTCACACACTAAGGAGTGCCATGTCTCGAGGTATAAGGTCAGCTAAGGTGCAGTATCATAGGTAGCTGGTTTCTCTGACAATTTTGTTTGCTCAAATTGGCATGATGACAACAATACCAGCGTCCCAGTGATAGATCTATCTTCATGAAGTATTCCAATGTGGCCAAACTCGGTAGCGCACATCTGCCCAGTACATGTTTCCTCCTTCAAAGGCTTTGTGTTATTACTCACTCACAAATCGCCGACTTTTTGTAATGTTCGAGACTTGACTACTTCAGACTACTGGCTCGTCAGTCTTAGTGGCCACGTACGACCACACCTATATGCAAAGCCAAACACTAGTGTAAATTTGTGCCCTTTAAGTATGTATTGCTAGCAGCCGGGATGTTGACTTATTTAGTAAATTGACAGTACCCTTACAATTACCCCAGTCTGGGTTGAACAAAAGTGGGTACCGGTTACTAACATCGAACATTTTGGGACATGAATTAACGGGACGTTCATTAAAAGCAAGAGACCAGATAGGACAAGTACCAAGAATAGGGCCAAGGTCTTCCACGGCCATGTAGTGCAACCGACGTGACGTTTAGTCCGTAGGATCGACCATCTCGACCGCGGTCGAGCTCGTTGAATAGAGAGTGGGGCAGGCAGATGTTACCCTCTGTGTCCTGGTTATTAGGAACATAGTGGTGCCGATTTCTAGCATAAAATGTAACATTTGACACTACGACCTAAACTTTTATAGCCGTTATTCTCTGAACACCTTCAGACAAGCTACCTGTGATAGGAGTGTCCTATCAGAGTGCACTGATAGATCAAACGAGCGAGCTATGCAAGCAATTAGAGATCAGCACAATGGATTCGATCACTGGACACGGATTAGCCTAGGTTCGTTTGGATAATCCACTGTCAAAGGAAGAAACTCATCAGCTCATATGGGTCGTTAGTTGTTGATGTGAACTATGTATATCAATAAGCTTGGCTTGACAAAGTGTCGTAATTTTCACCGAGTTGAATTTGTCGAATAAACGCCTGTCATGGCGAACGGAGTTCTGCAACATGGAGTCAGAGAAGAGCAAGCTGAACCCCACCAGCGGCACTCCGATGCTGTTTGGCTCACCAGTGGCTATTTAAATGCCTACCTCAGTGCACATAGATTAACGGAACTTAGCAAGTGATTGACATCTATGGAGGAGCAAGTGGGTAGATTACTGTCCAGTGATGCGTTTGCATGAGCAAGCGATGACGCATCGCTTGGTCATGTTTCGACACCCAACCGGGGTGGGGTGATGCGCACCGTGAGCTAGGAACATTGCGATACGACAAAGACAAAGAACCCAAAGAGTTGGAGACATTCATTGAAAGTTTCGGGGAATTTTGTAAAGGTGAAACCAAAGAGATCTACGATTGCTACCGTTTCCTTTCGCGAAACAGGGGCCCAAATGAATATGACGACGCGTAAGTCACTCAGTTTAAGATTTTGGCCTGGTTCTGCAACTACTGTACATGTATGGGAGACTGTCTCGTACAAGACGGTATAGTTATAGAAATGTATGACTAATGTACAACAAAGCGGTTTTTGCAACATTGCACTGCACCCCTCCAGTAGTGCATTGAGACCTGCAACAGTGAGTCCACGAGCAGGGAATACTGAATACTGAGAATATAGAGCGAGAAGATAAAAATCGGTGTTGCTCCATCGTAGATGAATAGGGTATATGCGCGGAAGCACGCCATTAATTCATGCGCGATGGCAGCAATTTGCAGCTGCACTACATCATATCCGGATGCGATACGTTCCCTATACCTGTAGTCCGGAAAGTGGTCGAGGAATCTCCTAAATTCCGACACCGATTTCGCCTCGACTAGCGTCTCCGGCAAATTGTTCTAGTATTTCACCACCCGACGCTAGAAGCACAGGGGGTGAACGCTGCGCTTTAAATTCGGTACGACAAGTTTGTACCGGTGTCCGCGTGTGTTGCTTGGTGCGCGAACGTGCAGCAGTGGCCTTAAAATAGGGAAATGGACCAGGTGTAGTATGCGGTACGTCATAATGGAATCAACTCGAAACCGACTATAGGACAAGGTATAAAGCTCTAGTCTCCAACATCGGCCTTTCTACGGCATACCCCGTACCATGAAGATGAGCCGGGTAGCTACATGCTGGACCCGTTGTAGTCTCTGCACCAAACCTATTGTGATAGGACAATAGGTGAGTGAGCCGTAATCAAGCACCGGTCATAGTATGGAAGAGAACAGACGGTGCGCAAGCGTTTAAGACCAATTGTAGAAACTGCGTCGAAGTACTCAAAGCAGTAGTCCGTTTGCGCACCGTCTGTTCATGTTGTCGACAAACTTCAGATCACCGCGTGAGAGTACGCCTAGATCTTTTACGGAACTGGTGGATTGCAGCGGGCTGCCAAGCAGTATGTACGCATGCTCATTACCTCTCCTCCCCAGGCTCATAAACGCGGACTTGGCCGGGTTGGCCGGTAGGTCAATTTCTGCAAACCATCGGGTCAGGCGGTCCAAGTCCTGCTGAAGGACGTCACAGTCGCCGGGTGAATCAATAATCCTCCAAAGCTTAAGGTCACCTGCAAATACTGCACAGAGCAACCGAAG